CTTTTCCCTGGATTTTGGAGAAAGACATAATCTATATTTATTTATCCTTTTATTCTGCCCTGCCATCTAAGACTTTGCTTTGCTCAGTCTTTCTCTAGAATCTCGAGTCTTACACTTTCCCCCATGGTTATGAAATGGTCTTTTTCATGCAGTCAGGGATTCATACATTTGCCTTATTCTATATCTCTGTCATTTTGTGCCACTTATTTTAATTTTAGTTGTTTTTTTTCTTTCTTTCACTGTGAAATGCCTCAAAAACCTATTTGCTCCCCTTCGTATGACTTTAAATTCCTCTTCTTTTCAAAACCATGTGATATGGCTCTGTGTTTTCTAGTAGGTTATAACTGAAGCTTTTCCCTCATCCCAGTGTAACTCCGTGGGGAGAAGAGCATTTATTTTATTTTTCCTTATTTCCGTGGTTAACTTACATGGTGGACATTGGTTAACTCCCTCCTCTTTTTAGGACAAGGATCTTTTATCAAGCGTTTGTTCAGGGCTGTTGTTTTAATCGGATACAGACAGGATCACCTAGAGAGCTTTAAAAATAGCCCCTGGCTAGGTTTCAGCCCAGAAAATCCAGATGGGAAAGATCTGTAGGCATTGATTTGATCTCGTGGGAAATCAGTAGTGGGGCTCAGGGAATGTAAACATTTCTAAACAAAGGCGCTCCATGGTTGCTTTGGGTCTGGGTGCCAGAGGTGAAACAGCAGGTAGTTTGTTGTTTAAAAGGTAAATGAAGAAAAAAGCCAATGAGGATCTAAAACAAAGGATGGTGAGTCCAACATTTAAGATTATCAAAGTAGATTCCTCAGTAATGTGGACACCACACCCCTTAGGGCCGTTAATAATGAAGTTAGTGGGGGATGGGGCTGATCTGCAGCCAGGTCCACCAGACATATGGGGAGGGGACACATAAGGATTTGGTCGTCAGCTGGATTTGTTATCGAGGAACCATGACTGAAGAAAATGGTCTTCCAAGCCATGAAAGTATAACAGGGAATCTTCCTGGGGCCAAGGATGGTTTGCATTCTGGTCTAGGACACTTATT